TCTTCCGATGTTCTAATCAGAGATAACCTGAAAAGCCTCAACAGTGGCCGAACAAAGATTTCCCCTTCTTGGGGAACGGGATACCAGTGGCTCTTTGCCCCTTCCAGTTTTAGCTCCGCCCATAAAGTATGCAAATGTGTTTATACAAGTCAGAGGGTTTGGATTGCACAAGCACTTAGCTATTTCTCCAGGACTGTGCGTCATCTCTCTTGCCCTAATCACTGGCCAATCTCTTTCCTAGTCCGATCTCCATCAGGGATGACTAAGCTGTGCAAGGGTAATATTCCATGGCGATGTGGGTGTTTTTCTTTTCCCGTGCATCTTGTGTTGTGTGCTTCCCTCCCCGTATGGCTGACTTCTACCCTACCAGTTGTACTGAACTGCCAGCCTTTTACTAATATCTGCCGCCCACTCAGCACGCCCCTGCATCTACGAGAGACTTTTTGGAAGCAGGTGACCCAAGTCTCCACGTGTGGTTCTCTAAACTCCCTGGTTGAACAACTGCTTACTAAATCTGGGTGGTGTCCCATCACATAACTGCAGGCATGGGTTTGGTGAGATGTTTTGTAGGCCTCCGAGATGAAATCTGTGTCGGTTTCCCAACCTGCTGCACAGTTGACCTGGCCTTCCTAGTATTGGAAGCTGTGGTTATGCATTTGTTTTTTCTTGACCGCACGCCAGAGATATCGGACACCTCCGCTCCTCTCTCCGGCGTTGCCAAAATGCGTAATGCGCTTTCTTCTTCCTTGTCTGTCTTTTTCGCCAGGCGAAGACGGGCCCTCTCAGATGGCCCTGGAAGACCTGGCCATGTTCAGAACCATCCCGGGCTGCACCGTGTTCTACCCAAGCGATGCCGTCTCCACGGAACACGCGGTCTGTCTGGCTGCAAACACCAAGGTGGGTGGGCGCCGAGCAGTTTGCATGCTAACTTGACCTTTTGAGTGGTAAAGTGAAAACACTACGAGGAGATTGCTGTTCTTCCTACTGGCTTCCTCGTGCAAGAGGTTCATGTGAGGTATTACAGAAGAGGGGCCGTGGCTCAGTGGCAGAGCCTCTGCTTGGCGTGCAGAAGGTCCATGGTTCAATCCCCGGCATCTCCAGCTAGAAAAACCAGGAGATAGGTGATGTGAAAGACCTCCACCTGAAACCCTGGAGAGCGGCTGCGAGTTTGAGTAGGAAATACTGATCTTGATGGACCAAGGGTCTGATTCAGTACAAGGCAGTTTCCTGGGCTTATGCGAGATCCTTTGAGGTGGGGCCGTGGCTCAGTGGCAGAGAGTCTGCTTGGCATGCAGAAGGTCCTCGGTTCAATCCCTGGCATCTCTAGTTAAAAGGACCAGGCAAGAAGGGATGAGAAAGATGGACCTTGACCTGAGACCCTGGCTCAGCGGCAGAGCCTCTGCTTGGCCTGCAGAAGGTCCCAGGTTCAATCCTTGGCATCTCCAGTTAAAAGGACCAGGCAGGAGGTGATCGGAAAGACCTTGACCTGAGACCCTGGCTCAGTGGCAGAGCCTCTGCTTGGCATGCAGGAGGTCCCAGGTTCAATCCCCGGCATCTCCAGTTAAAAGGACCAGGCAGGAGGTGATGGGAAAGACCTTGACCTGAGACCCTGGCTCAGTGGCAGAGCCTCTGCTTGGCGTGCAGAAGGTCCCTGGTTCAATCCCTGGCATCTCCAGTTGAAAGGACCGGGCAGGAGGTGATGGGAAAGACCTTGACCTAAGACCCTGGCTCAGTGGCATGCAGAAGGTCCCAGGTTCAACCCCGGCATCTCCAGTTCAAAAGATCTGGCAGTGGCTGATGTCAAAAGAGCTCCGCCTGAGATCCTGGAGAGCCACTGCCAGTTTGCATAGACAATACTGACACTGATGGGCCAAGTGTCTGAACTGAATAAGGCAGCTTCATGTGCTCAGAGGCTGTTAAGGGCTCATCATAATGCTAATTAATCCAACAGTGGTGAAGGTGAAGATGTGTGATACAGAAGCCTCTTCCACACGTGTGTCTCCAGCTTTTCTGCTTTGGAGTTTTCCGCCCTTCTAGCAGAAGGAGAGAGCGAGAGTCCAGGACTGCCTTAAAGACTAACAGAATTTCTGGCAGGGGGAGGAGCTTTTGTGAGTCGCTGCTCACTTTTTTAGATGACTCACTTTTTCAGTGCTCCGAGAGAGCTCCTCCCCTGTTAGTCTTTGAGGTGCTCCTGGACTCTTGCTCTTTTCTCCTGCTACAGACAGACTAACACGGTGACCCATCTTGATCTTTCACCTTTCTAGGTGGCCTCTAACTTGCCAATAAAGTGTAAATGCCAACTTCTGAATCCTAATACACCTTTGGGTGTAGTGGTTAGGAGCGCGGATTCTAATCTGAGAGTAGAGATGTAAAATGTCTGGAAATTTTGAAGCTTGGGAAAAAACGGAAATTTTCGGAAAAATTGAAAAAAATGCCACGTTAGCTCTTCTTTTTTCTTTTTCAGATTGAAAGTCATTCTGTTACTTTCGGGACATAAAATGTGACTATGGACAATTTTACTTGGCATGAAATTATCACAACTAGCATTTTGAAAATATAGTGTAGCCAAACAACTATTGTGGGTGGCTGGGGGGAAGTAAAGAACCAGATTAGTAGTAACTAAATTATTATTTACACAAAGGTTATAAAGATAAACTGATGTTGCTAAATGATACAGTTTTCTGGAATCAGATAAATGAAAACTCTTACCTTTTAAGATTAAGTATATACTTTCAGGTCCTTTTTGTTGCTCTGTATTTTCTTCCAATGCTTTGAGGCCTAGTGAAGCCTGAGTGCCAGTATACCCACCCACATGCAAAAACAAAACTGAAACCTTTTTCTTTTCTTGTGACAATAGCACCTCCTAAAGGAAGAAATGCATCTTGTTCTTGCATTGGAGAGTTCAGTTTGTAACCTAGGACTTGCTTGTCCTCAGTGCACAGAAATTAGATTACTCTGATACCATACATATTTTTTAGAAATGATTTGGAAAACATTTGAACACCTTGTCTTAAAATATTCTATTCATCATGTTAAAATAAAACGTTCCATAATCAATTTCTTTTCTTCTTTTCAATTTTTCCAATTTTGGGGGGGGAAAACAAGGCTTCAGGAAAAAAACAGAAAGAACCTGTTTTTTTTCCAGAATTTTTCCGCTTTATTCCCGGGCCTTCACATCTCTATCTGGGAGAACCGGGTTTGATTCCCCACTCCTCCACATGCAGCTGCTGGTGTGACCTTGGGTCAGCCACAATTCTCTCAGAGCTGTTCTCTCACGAGCGGTCCTCGAAAGAACTCTCTCAGCCCCAGCTACCTCACAGGGTGTCTGTTTTGGGGAGGGGAAGGGAAGGAGATTGTGAGCCACTCTGAGACTCCCGAGTGAAGGGTGGGGTATAAATCCATCCTCCCCCTCCTCTTCTTTTCCCCCTCTTCTTTCCGGAATACCTACATGTTTCTCGTTGATCTCTCCAAGAGCCCTGGTGTCTCTCTGAAATGTCACCTTTGCTCCTCAGGGGATATGTTTCATTCGAACCAGCCGCCCGGAGACTCCGATCTTATACTCCCCGGAAGAAAAGTTTGCAATAGGCCAGGCCAAGGTAAGAAAGGCGTTAATACTTGGCATTGATGAAGGTGTGCTGGGTACTGGAAATTCAGGGATTCAGCTTTGGCTGCGCTCTGGCCTTGGCGTCTTCGGCATCCTGTTTTCAGATGTGTGGGGTTGGGGAGTAGGGAGATGGCAGATATTGGCTCCGACAGATGCTAGCTTGAAGGGAAGCGTCCTTCTATCGTAATGTGTTTCCAAGGAAGTCTGAGGTCACGTCTGTGTCTCTTCACATGGGCGAACTGGGGCCTCGTGGAGCAGGTCTTATGAAATGGCAGGCCGCTCTAAGCCTCCCAAGGCCGTCATAGGCTTGGCAGGAGCGGTCTTGCATTCTTGAATCAGGATTGTAACTTGCGTCAAGGCTGTTGTCCGGAGCCCTGAAATCCGGGTTGGGCTGGCCAAAAAAAGGGGGGGCAGGGGGAGGGTTTGTGTTGCAGTTCACAGATCCGTGTCTGCTACTAGGTGGCAAAGATCTAACCTGACTTGGCTCTGCAGAACACCAAACTGCTGAGGTAGGTCACAGGTGGCATGCAGCTGTAGGATCCTTCCCAGTTGAGGTTGGGGATTAGCTGCCTCAGTTTCTAGCTGCGGAGATGGGTTGCGGACTCTTCTGTCTAGGTCCCGTAGAAAGGACGGTAGTGAGGCTGTGTGCAGGGACCGGAGTGGGGGAGTGCTTGAAAGGGGCTGTTCCTCACGTGGCTTCGGAAGGTGGCAAGAAAGCATTGTGCCAAAATCCAGAAGACGAGACTCACTGGCAAGGACTGTAATGCTAAGAAAAGTCAAAGGCAGTAGTAGGAAGAGAGGAAGGGCTGGACTCAGTAGAGTGTGCAAGACCTGAGCAAGGCTATTAAGGACAGGCTGTCTCGGAGGACATTTGTGCATAGGGCCACCATCAGATGGAAGTGACTGGGTGTTGTATAACATACGCAGATCCAAGCGGCTTTAATTTGTGCTGTGGATTTCTCCAGAAGAAGATGGGTGGATAGTGGGCACTGCTGGCATTTGCTGTCAGATCTCAGAAGCTAAGCAGGGTCGGCCCCTGGTTAGTCCTTGGATGGGAGATGAGCAAGGAAGTCCAGGGTTGCTATGCAGAGGCAGGCTTTGACTCTGACAAGCTTTTATTGGCATACGTATATACATACAATAGGAGATCAGATTAAATATAGATCAGGAAGTACGAATCCATATAGGGTGAAATTGGTGCTACGGCGCAGAAAAACAGCATGAAAGCAGGAAAACCTAGTGGTTACTTATCAGAACGTATAGCCGTGGCACTAAGAAGAAACCTTGCTACTATTTCGGTTATTTCCGTATCTTGGCCCCGGTCACACGGAGCATTAGGCACGCTAGAGAGACGGAAGATAGGCGGATTATCCGGGCGCGATCTCACCGCCACATCTGGGAAGCGTAGAGCTCCCGTGGTGCACCCGAGGCTTCCCACCGAAGATGCGGGGTAAAAAACTAGTACCTTGGAGGTACTAGTTTCCGGAAACCGCGGGGCAAGGGTGGGCGTCTGATCGCATTTCCGGTGGTAGTTCCGGCACCCGCCCATGTCCCCTCGCAAAAAGTTTTTGCCCCCCAAGTCTCCACGGATGCGCACCAGCACCCAACGGAGCATGCGCACATTTCAGTTTAAAAAGAACCCATAACCCCGTTTGCTGCACCGCTCCGCTTCTTTGCCGCGCCGTGTGATCGGCACCTCCCCCCTAACCACGGGAGCTCGACGGGACCTCAACCCGACGCCTGGGACAAACAGACACGCCTCCCCCCCACATTTTCCTGCCCATGTGGCCAAGGCCCTTGATTATCAAGCAAAAACAGAACCTTAAAATTGTCAGGAATCTCTGAGAATTGAGGTAATATAGGATACAGGAGATCCTGGCGGGGCACCAGATAAAAGGGACATTGAAGGAGAACATGGGGGACAGTTTCAACACAGTCCTTACAAGGACCACATCTGCGGGAGTAGGGGATCCCCTGGAATCTGCCAGAGAGAAGAGCAGAAGGAAGAACTAACCTGGTTTGTGGTTTTGGGCACCACATTTTAGGAAGGATGTTGACAAGCTCGAGCGTGTCCAGAAGAGGGCAACCAGGATGGTGAGAGGGTTGGAATCCAAGTCTTACGAGGAAAGGCTGAAAGAGTTGGGTCTGTTTAGCCTGGGAAAGAGAAGGCTTAGAGGGGACATGATTGCACTCTTCAAGTATCTGAAGGGCTGTCATGTAGAAGATGGAGCAGATCTATTCTCTCTTGCTCCGGATTGCAAGACTAGATCTAATGGGTGGAAGTTACAAGGGAGTCGTTACCGGCGAAATATCAGGAGAAACTTCCTAACTGTAAGAGTGGTTGAGCAGTGGAACAGTCTGCCTCGGGAGGTGGTGGATGGATACTCCTTCGCTGGACGTTTTCAAGCTGGACGGCCATCTTTCGGGCACGTTGTAGGGCTGTCTTTCGGCTGTGCTCCTGAAGAGTGCAGGGGGTTGGACTAGATGACCTGCAAGGTCCCTTCCAACTCTAACGTTCTATGATTCTATGATAAGAACATGAAATCTGGCCAGGGAGACGGCTCTGCTCAGAGGCAGGCAATCTCAACGTTTCTTGCCATGAAAACCCGCTGTTAAGAACTTGCTTGCGCTCCCCGGCCCAAGAGGTATTTGGCTGTCCGTGGCCAGGGCCAGGGCTTTTAGCGCCCTGGCCCCAACCTGGTGGAACTCTCTGGCGCGTAACAGCCATGCCCTGTGGGACTTGATGCCGTTCCGCAGGGCCTGTAAAGCAGAGATGTTCCGCCAGGCTTTTAGTGGAGGACAGCGACAGTCTCCATCTGGCCGGCATTCTCCCATTCCCCCCCCCCCCAGCAAGGCAGTAGCACAACTAGAAATTTCGACCGCCGTCTCTTTAATTTTGAATTGATACTGGAATTTTATTGTAATTTCCAAATGTCCCAACCAGTGTTTCCTCTAAGCTGAGTGAGTGTGAGCTAGCTCACAGTTTTTTAGCCTCTGGCTCACTCATTTTTTGCCTTAGCTAAGGAAGGAGGGCTCCCGAGCAAACTGATTTACGCAGCAGCCAAACCGCTCGCTCACAGCTTGGATGCCAGTAGCTCACAAAGTAGAATTTTTGCTCACAAGACTCCACAGCTTAGAGGGAGCATTGGTTCCAACTATATGATATGTTGTTTTAGTAGGTCCCTGAGCCCTGTTTCAGGGAATTGGGGGGGTATTAAAAATTGAATTTAGTAAATGAATCATAAATTATTTGGCTGTAACTTGACGGCAAAGAAAAGGAGGGTCTCTTGTTAACTCATCCCTGGACAACCATCTTCTACATGTGACTTTCTTTGGTGTAGTGGTTAGGAGCGTGGACTCTAATCTGGGAGAACCGGGTTTGATTCCTCAGTCTTCCACATGCAGCTGCTGGTGTGACCTTGGGTCAGTCACAAGTTCTCTCAGAGCTGTTCTCTCAGGAGCTGTCCTCGAAAGAGCTCTCTCAGCCCCACCTCCCTCCCAGGGTGCCTGTTGTGGGGAGGGGAAGGGAAAGGAGATTGTAAGCCGCTCTGAGACTCCGAGTGAAGGGTGGAGTATAAATCCAATCTCTTCTTCTCTTTCCAATTGGTACAGAATGCTGGGAGTCAGTTTGGTGCAGTGGTTAAGAGCGCAGACTCTAATCTGGGAGAACTGGCTTTGATTCCCCATTCCTCCTCCACATGCAGCCAACTGGGTGACCTTGGGTCAGTCACAAGTTCTCTCAGAGCTGTTCTCTCAGGAGCAGTTCTCGAAAGAGCTCTCTCAGTCCCACCCACCTCCCAGGGTGCCTGTTGTGGGGAGGGGAAGGGAAAGGAGACTGTGAGCCACTCTGAGGCTCCTTTGGGTAGTGAAGGGCGGGGTATAAATCCCATTTCTTCTCTTTAGGTTGTACGCAAGAGCAACAGTGACAAGGTGACAGTGATCGGGGCAGGTGTCACCCTCCACGAAGCCCTGACTGCGGCTGATGAGCTGGCCAAACAAGGTAGAGGAACGCTGAACTCCCGGGAGGAAGTCGGGGCAGGGGCAGGGACCTCCTCCTTTCCCAGGAGTCTCTGCTCCGGTCTTCTCATGCGGCTTTTGCTTTCTTCCAGACATCCATATCCGGGTCATTGACCCCTTTACCATCAAGCCCTTGGACGCGGAGACCATCATCTCCAACGCCAAAGCCACGGGGGGCCGCATCATCACTGTTGAGGACCACTACCGAGAGGGTAAGTGGCTGTGTCTTCATGGAGGGGGACTCCGCATTGCAGCAGGACTGGGCTGGGGGGCAAATACATTAGATTTTCTCTAGTTGTCTACTCAGTCCATTCATAAGAGAAGCCATGCTGGATCAGGCCAGCGGCCCATCCCGTCATAGAATCACAGAGTTGGAAGGGGCCACACAGACCATCTGGTCCAACCCCCTGCCCAACGCAGGACCAGCCGAAAGCATCTCTGACAAATATCCGTCCAGCCTCTTCTCGAAAGCTGCCAGTGAAGGGGAGCCCACCACCTCCCTAGGCAGCTGATTCCACCTTTGAACCACTCTGACTGTGAAGATGTTTTTCCTGATATCCAGCTGATACCTTTCTGCATGTAATTTAAACCCGTTGCTTTGGTCCTCTCCTCTGCGGCCAACTGGAACAGCTCCTTGCCCTCCTCCAAATGACAGCCTTTCAGATATTTAAAGAGAGCAATCACGTCCCCCCTCAATCTCCTCTTCTCCAAACGAAACATTCCCAGGGCCCTCAGCCTTTCCTCGTAGGGCTCGGTCTCCAGACCCCTGATCGTCCTCGTCGCTCTCTTCTGCACCCTCTCGATTTTGTCCACATCCAGTCCAACACTCTATGTCACACGGTGGCAAAACCCAGGGGCCATCAGGAGGTCCACCAGCAGGGCCAGAACTCCTGAAGCCCTCCCACTCTTGCCCCCCCAAGCACCAAGAATACGGAGCATCACTGGCCCCAGACAGAATGTTCCATCTGTACCTTGTGGCTAAGAGCCACCAATGGTCCTCTGCTCCATATGCTTACGCAAGCCCCTCTTGAAGCTGTCTATGCTTGTAGCCGCCGCCCCTTCCTGCGGCACTGAATTCCACGTGCTAATTACTCTCTGGGTGAAGAACGGTCTCAAACCTGGTTTGGTACAATCTTTCTGGAATGAACCCTGTCCAAGGACATTAGCAAGCCACCTGGACTGGAAGTCCTGCATTTTTCATGGCCGCACCCACACAGGCACCCTTTTTCGTGTCTCACCTGCTTGGGGCCATCATTCCGACCTGCCCCTGCCACCTGAGGCTGTTTTCGTTCCTTTTTTTAAAAAACCCAGCCGTTGGCAGATCGCTGTGGCGCCATAATGATCAGTTCCTGTGACCTAGTTCTAGTACCCACATTTTATTTTGGGGCGGCGGGGGAAAGCCCGTAGTCCTTTTTGTGGCAGCCAATGTTCCCTCTAAGCTGTGGAGTCTTGTGAGCAAAACTTCAACTTTGTGAGCTACTTGCATTAAAGTTGTGAGCGAGCAATTCGGCTCCTGCATAAGTTAGTTTGTTCTGGAGCCCTCCTTCCTGAGCTAGGACAAAAATGTGTAAGCCGGAGGCTAAAAAACTGTGAGCTATCTCACGTTAACTCAGCTTAGAGGGAACACTGGTGGCAGCACCAGAACAAACAGGGCTGCAGAGTTAATTCTTGTTCTGTTTTCCAGTGGAACTACTACACGATCGCGATAGAAAGTTACAAGTGGGGGAACCAGAGAGGACTTGCTGGTGGGCATCCCATCAGCCCTGATGTCCTTATATATTCTTTCGTGGAGAGAGATCAAGATGGGTAGCCGTGTGAGTCTGTCTGAAGCAGTAGAAAAGAGCAAGAGAATCCCAGAATCACAGAGTGGGAAGGGGCCCTACAGGCCATCTAGTCCAGCCCCCTGCTCAGTGCAGGACCAGCCTAGAGCATCCCTGACAGGTGTTTGTCCAGCCACTGCTGAAAGACTGTCCGGGAGGGGGAGCTCACCACCTCCCCAGGCAGCCGATCTCACTGTTGCACGACTCAACTGTCAAAAAGGTTTTTCCTAAGATCCAGCCGGTACCTCCCCTGCCCTTAATTTCAACCTGTTTTTGCAAGTCCTCTCCTCTGCTGCCAAGAGGAACAGCTCCCTGCCCTCCTCCAAGTGACAGCCCTTCAAATACTTAGAGAGGGCAATCCTGTCGTTCCCCCCCCACCACCTCCTCTTCTCCAGACTAAACACTCCCAAGTCCCTCAGCCTTTCCTCATAGGGCTTCTTGGTCGCCAGGCCCCCCGATCATCCTAGTCGCTCTCCTCTGCACTCGCTCCGTTCTGTCCGCATTCTTTTGGCAGTCACAGAATCCCATAGGGGGAGCTCACCACCTCCCCAGGCAGCCCATTCCACTTTTGCACGACTCTTACTGTAAAAATGTTTTTCCTAAGATCCAGCCGGTACCTTCCGGCCCTTAATTTAAACCCATTCTTGCGAGTCCTCTCCTTTGCTGCCAAGAGGAACAGCTCCCTGCACTCCTCTGACAGCCCTTCAAATACTTAGAGAAAGCAATCCTGCCCCCCCCCCCACCTCCTTTTCTCCAGACGGAACATTCCCAAGTCCCTCAGCCTTTCCTCACAGGGCTTGGTCTCCAGGCCCCCGATCGTCCTCGTCGCTCTCCTCTGCACCCGCTCCATTCTGTCCACATCCTTTTTGAAGGGAGGCCAGTAGCCCCTTAAAGACTAACAAAATTTGTAGCGGGGTAGGAGCTTTTGTGAGTTGCTACTCACTTCAGATACTCTTCACATATCTGAAGAAGTGAGCAGTGACTCAAGAAAGCTCATCCCTGTCACAAATTTTGTTAGTCGTTACGGTGCTACCTATACTCTGTCTCTTTTCTACTTTTGTAACACCTTTGGACCTTCTGACCTGGATAGAAGGGGATGATGGATCTTCATTCTCATTGTATCTGATGAAGGGAGCTTCGACTCACGAAATCTCCTACCCCAGAAATCTTGTTGGACTTTTAAGGTGCGGCTGGACTCGAATCTGGCTCTTCAAGCACGGGCCAACATGGCTACCCTCTCAAAACTATCTTCAGGGGGTTAGATGTTCGCCTTTGGGTCTTGGCCAATGCTCCCTCTAAGCTATGGAGTCTTGTGAGCAAAAATTCTACTTTTGAGAGCGACTGGCATTAAAGCTGCAAGCCAGCGATTAGGCTACTGCATAAATTAGTGCTCTGGAGCCATCCTTCCCGAGCGGAGACAAAAATGTGTGAGCCGGAGGCTAGAAAACTGTGAGCTAACTCACACTAGCTCAGCTTAGAGGGAACACTGGTCTTGGCACCTTTGTATGTCTTAGTTCTGGGAAGGGGATCCTTGTCAAAAGCTTCTTCTCTGTCTCCCCTCCTTAGGAGGCATTGGTGAAGCCGTAGCAGCGGCCGTCTCAGAAGAACCCGGCCTCCTCGTCCAGAGCCTGGCCGTCTCGGGAGTGCCTCGGAGCGGAAAGCCGGCCGAGCTCCTGGACATGTTCGGGATCAGCGCCAAGAGCATCGTGGCGGCGGTGAAGAGCACCTTTGCCAATTGACGTTGCCACCTGGCTTGGGAGGGGGGAGAGGGGTCACACAGGTATGGAAAACGGCCGTCTCTGAAACAGCAGAGGTAGCCTCTCTGTAAACATACCGCACTAAGTTCCCGAACCCAAATTGCTTTCACTTCCTGTTGGAATTTGACACATGCTGCTATCAGGGGCTTTCCTTGGGCCTGTGACCTCGTTCTGAGTGCAAATGACGCTTTTTCGGATCTGTGTTTAAAATCTTCTCCCTCCTCTTCCTTACTAAGAGAATTCCATTCCCATGTGAGTAGCTTAACCAGGTCAAAAAGCCTCTGGCCGATGGTATGTGGGACCAAACAGTGTTTGTCTTACCTGAATTCTCTGGCCCCTGTTCCTGGGCCTAGATCTTATCCTACTTGGTGTTCCTCTCTGTCTCTCGGGCCCGATCCTCAGGGGCCATGTTCCCCGGGCCGTCTTCTAGGGGGAGGTAAGAACACATTGTTAGTTCCTGCCCAAAGATATGCAACTGAACGTCTCAAAAGCTCTAGTTCTCGCTGTGATGTTAATTCCCGTTGTTCTAAGCAGACTTGAATGCGACCAAGATAACTGCTCCTGTTTACATTTGTAGAACTGCTGTTTGGCTAGTGTTCGTCTAACAGATTTGATTAAAAACCGAAAAGAAACCTGGATTGAAATTTTGTGGCTGGCTCGTTGACTTGGGAAGCAGGAGTAAAACTGAGGTGTAGGAGATACGCAGTGGGCTGCTGGGGTGTTCTCTTTTCCTGCTGCGTGTGAAAGAAACGGGATAGAAGGCCAAAGCAAGTTACAACTAAATGGAAAATTATGCAGATTTATAGTTTAAGCTATAGCACGTCTGCTTAGAAGTACATAGCACTGAATTTTGTGCAACCTCCCAGTTAGTCTTCCTTGAAGCCTTTAATCCAGGGGTCCCCAATTTGTGGGCACTTTTGGAATTCTGAATGGCTGCCCCAGGAGGTGGAGCCTGTCATGCAATGGCTGCCGCATCTTCAGTCACACATCCTTGAGCTGTGGTGGCAGCCACGGGTGTAGCAACATTTTTAAACACCTGCATTGCCAATCAGCTCTCCGTTGGCCAATCGGAAGCTTTGCTGGGCAAAAGCCCCACCTACTTAAAAGTACTGGGTGGGCACCAGGAAAGGTGTCAGCAGGTGCTGTGGTGCCCACGGGCATCAAGTTGGGGACCCCTGTTGTAACCAGTGTTTGTGTGTGTTTTCAGTTGTTTCCAAAACTGTGGTAGGCTTTGTACTTGGCTGCTGGGCTAGATTTCTCTGCTTTCATTCTAAACCGATAAAATATTAAGAACACAAACTACCTGTGATTCACTGGAGTTACGCTATCAGGGGGAGGGGAAAGATGGTTAAATGCAACTTCCATATTCAGAGGCAGTGGATCTATACAGAAGATGATGGAAACAAGCAACAGAAAGAGGATTGCTTGCTCCCTTCATGCCTCATTTCAGGTCTGTGGCTCAGTGGCAGAGCCTCTGCTTGGCCTGCAGAAGGTCCCAGGTTCAATCCCCAGGATCTCCAGCTGAAAGGGCCAGGCAGGAGGTGATGGGAAGGACCTCTGCCTGAGACCCCGGAGAGCTGCTGCCAGTCTGAGTAGACCAGGCTGACCTTGGTGGACCAGAGAGGTCTGATTCAGTACCGGGCAGCTTCGTGTGTTCAACATCTGGCCGCTGTTGGGAAGAGAATGCTGGACCAGATGGATGTGTCGTGATTCCACAGAGCTGCTGTCCTTTGACAGTTCTGTCCTTTACTGCATTTGCTCTGTGTGCTCCGAGGAAAGGTTGCTATTTCCTTCAGGTATTTTACAGAGCAGTGTTATACCCTTCTATGCACATGGACTTCAGTGGATTTAGAAGAATGTGATTCTGTTTAGGATTGCACTGTCAATCATTTGAAGGTGGTTTACTGGTCATATCAAGGCCAAATAGAGCTACTGATAAATCTCTTTGGGTTTTTTTTGTTTTTTTATTAATGTCAGATTAATACAAATACATAATCAAAGCTTCATTGGTAAGGAAACAAGCATTTAAAACAAAGCTCATAGTGGTTTGGCCGACATTTAAACAAACAGCGAAAACAGGTGTGCGCTCAAGACACAGAACGGCCACTTCAGCAGGGTTCTTGTTTTGGGGGTTTTTTTGTTTTTTTTTTAAAGGTGGTCATGATGATTGGGAAAGCTAGAGGTTAGAGTGTGGAAGACCGAGGTTCGAATCCCTACTTTAATCTGGAGAACCGAGTTGGATTCCTCACTTCTCCACTTGAAGCCAGTTAGGTGACGTTGGGTCAGTCACAGCTCTATCCAAGCTCGCAGCCCAAAAAACAAGTCTAGCTCGCTGCCTAGTGGTGCATAATACTAAAAGCACTAGAACTTTTGGCTGCCAGACAATTGTAGGATCTCCTGGCTATACTATACACATTATTATCATTATTAGCTTTGCAGGGTTGTAAGGCTGCAGCTGAGGAGAGGAGTATGATGCAGGCTTCTTGGGGTCTCCCCTCGGGGGGGAAAGGCAGGGGGTAAATGAAGGGGATAAAATGGTTATGGGTACGGCTTGTCCCATGTGATATGAAAGAGAAAATCCTTCTGTGCAAGAAGATGCTTAAAGCAAAACGTGGGAGGAGACGTCATAAGGCACTCATTGATTTGCTTTCCATGACAAGCAGTTAAATAGAGTTGTAAGTCAAAGCCGGTTAACTTAATGGCAGGAAAAGCACTTTTATGGAAGCGGGGAGGGACTTCACAGGCTCTGCTGACATTTGAATGTCCAAGGCTCAAGGTATGACTGGACACAGAAGGGGATTCTTCTGTCTTTTCTCTCTATTTGACGATATTGGATGATCTGAAAGGCTGTACTCCTGATGTTAGGTAGTGCAGAACATCAACTGAGCAAACCTATGCAGAATTCCTGCAGTCTGTCCATGACGGCATAGGACTGCCTGCAGTATGCATCCCATTTCACCTTATTTTGCCTCGAGTTTATCAATCAACATCTTCCAGCAGATGTGCATGTGTCTCAGCTTCTCTAATCGGCCTGTTCATTCCCTCTTTCAGCATGCGTTTCCTTATAGTCACAAGAGCACTGTAGCGCTTGAAAATAAAGGCAAGCTGAAAAATGCCCTGCTGTGCAAGGAATAAAATGAACCCTGTACTAGGGGTGTGCAAAAAAATAAAATAAAAAAATTCAGCCCGATTCGGATTCGGCCGAATTCGGCAGAATCAATTCGGGCTGGCAGAAAGACTCCTGCATGTCAATTTCGGCAGTACCAGTGGATTGGGGAGTCTGTGGGCCAGCCGAATGTCAATTTCGACCCCATTACATCCTATGGGCCATTGAAGTCAATGGCGAAAACATAGGGTATATTCTGGTGGCTGGAGGGAAGGGGGTTTGAGGGAGAGGCTCCAAACTTGCAGGGTAGCTGCTGGAGCTTCTCCCCAAGATACCCACCAAGTTTCAAGAACATTGGACCAGGGGGTCTACTTCTACGGGCCCCCAAACAGGTTGTCCCTATCCCCTCCATTGTTCTCTATAGTGGGGGAAGAAGTACTTCAATGGCCCATAGGATATAATGGGGCCAAATTGTTGCCGAAATCGGAATTGGCTTGCAGCAGCCTGAAAGGGGCCCGAATGGGCCATTTTTGGGGGTGCATTCGGTTCAGACAAACCGAATGCACATCCCTACAACAGCCCAGGCTAGCCTGATCCCAGAAGCTAAGCAGGGTCGGCCGTGGTTAGTACTTGGATGAGAGAGCACCAAGGAAGCCCAGGGTTGCTACACAGAGGCAGGCAATGGCAAACCACCTCTGTCGCTTGCCTTCGTCTGGAGGGTCCAGGTTAGCCTGATCTCATCAGATCTTGGAAGCAAAACAGGGTCAGCCCTGGTTGATATTTGGATGGGAGATCACCAAGGAAGTCAAGGACTGCTACACGGATGCAGGCAGTGGCAAACTTCTGTGTCTTTAGCCTGGAAGGCCTCGTGGACGGGTTCAGCCATGAATTGGTTGTGACTCAACGGCATGTTCTTTTACAGTGCTTTAATTTAAGCACAGCTGAACCTAGATGGCCCAGGCTGGACTGATCTTGTCAGAGCTTGGAAGCTAAGCAGGGTCAGCCCTGGTTAGTACTTGGATGGGAGACCACCAAGGAAGTGCGGGGCTGCTACGCAGAGGCAGGCAAGGGCGAACCATCTCTGAACCTTGAAAGCTCCATGGTCCTGGGGTCGCCATGCGTCAATTGCGACTTCATGGTACAGACTGCTGAATCGCGATAATGAAACTCAAGACAATGCACCTACCTGAACTGAATTGAGGCCTAGGTTTCCTGTCTCATTACCAATGCTGATTTCTGCATGTCTATTACCCTTCTGCATATCTCACCTAAATCCAATTACACCTGCTATTGTCATTCACCTGCTAATGTCATTTGCCTGCTAATGTCATTTGGCGTCTGAAATCACTCCACTTTCCAATAAATAGGACAGATGGGACTCCCGTTCTAGCTGTATCTGAAGAAGTGAGCAATGACTCGCGAAAGCTCCTACCCTGCCATATATTTTGTTAGTCTTTAAGGTGCTCCTGGGCTCTTGGCTCTTTTCTCTTGATGGTGCATGACTTTTATCAGGGCTTTTTTTGTAGAAAAAGCCCAGCAGGAACTCATTAGCATAACAGGCCACACCCAACAGCAGAAACTCATTAGCATAGTAGGCCACACCCCTGACAGCACAGCTCATTGGCATATTAGGCCACACACCCATGTTACCAGAAGTGTGCTCATCCAGCCACACCCATCTTTTGCTTCTTATTCTGTTCACCTTGTTTGTTGTCAAAACCCAGGGCCTTTTTTTGTAGCAGGAACTCCTTTGCATGTTAGGCCACACACCCCTAATGTAGCCAATCCTCATGAGTTTCTGATGTTGGGTGTGGCCTATTATGCTAATGAGTTCGTGCTGGGCGTGGCCAACTTGGAAGCCAGCAGGAACTCCGTTCCTGTGCGTTCCTGCCCAAAAATAGCCCTGACTTTTATTATTACAATGAAACGCATGCCTCTTAATTGCATAGTATCCCTAAAATTACTTGTAACATCAGGTTGTGTTAACCTCCGAGGCCGCTAGGTTAAACTGCCATATCTTCTGTTCCCTGCTGCATGGATCCTGAACCACGGTCAAGCAATTTTATCCTCTCAGAGTGCCGACACAATGCACCTGATGTCGGAGGAATACCTCCTGTGGCTCGGTTCTTTTGTATAAGGTTTGACATTTTCCTGCAGAACTTGACAGGTTGACTCATGAGTGACTCCACGAAAGCTGAATTAAAGCACAATGTTGA